TAAATGAACTACACAGTGCCAAGTGTTCAATAAATATTATTCAGTAAGTTGAGACCTGAGGAATGGATTGCAGAGAAAAAGGAAGGGAGGAGGGAAGAGGGGACAGGTGTGTCCCAGCTAGAGGAAGCAANTTCACAGGGAGTAAATGAACTACACAGTGCCAAGTGTTCAATAAATATTACACATTAAGCTGGGACCTGAGGAATGGATTGGGATGCAGAGAAAAAGGAAGGGAGGAGGGAAGAGGGGACAGGTATGTCCCAGCTAGAGGGAACAGCACATTTACGAACAAATATGCAATAAATATTTGTTGAAGAATAAATTCTTTAAGGGAAGTGAGAGTAAGGCAATCTCTATAGGACACGCCCCTTACCTGTTTTCCCTGGTATGTGTGTGTAGGTGGCATAGCGTGGCACCTGAGCCAGGCAAGCCTGCAGCATACTTCTAACTAAAGTGCCAACTTCTTAAGGCAGAGGTGGAGTCTTCTCTTGGGGTCCCATAGCCCTGAGCTTTTACACCCCCAAGGGTGACCACATTCCCTCCACTGCTCCCTCTTTCTGCTGTTTCACCATCACTTCCATCCCAGGAAAAGGCCCTGACCAAGATCCCTGGAGAGAGCCAGGTGCCCCGCCTCATGGAGCAACCTGAGAAATGCAGGTGGGGGGCAAAGAACCCCGAACTTGTGATCAGGGCCTTGGATTTGAGTCCTCACTCTGCCAGCCGGCAGCCCTGTGACCTTGGGGGAGTTGCATGGGACACCCATCCAGAGCACACTGAGCCCCCATGGTGAGCAGGTTTGGGGTTGTTGATACAGTAGGTGACCATCCCAGCTGTTGTGGGGCTGAGAACTTTCCTGGGATTTGTGACTTTTGGTGCCCAAACTAGGGGAGTCTCAGGCAAACGGGTGAGCATGTCACTGGCCGGTCTGCTTCTCTCCTCCATGATCCTCCGCCCCCTCTTCCTGCAAGACCTGAGGCACAAGTCAGCCCAGAGCAGCTTCTGAGTCCTTCAGCTTCACGGCTGAGCCACGGGACCAGGTCTATGCAGAAGGAGGGAGGGAGGGAGAGGAAGAGCGATGCACTGGTGTTGCCCTGTGACGTTTCCACGCCANGCTGGCCTGCTTCTCTCCTCCATGATCCTCCTCCCCCTCTTCCTGCAGGACCTGAGGCACAAGTCAGCCCAGAGCAGCTTCTGAGTCCTTCAGCTTCGCGGCTGAGCCACGGGACCAGGTCTATGCAGAAGGAGAGAGGGAGGGAGAGGAAGAGCGATGCACTGGTGTTGCCCTGTGACATTTCCACGCCGGAGGTTGGCATCCATCCACTGTTTGAAGTGGCAGGGCTGGGCCAGGCTCTCTCAGAGAGTCCATGCAAGACCAAAACCAGGCTAGTCGGGGTGTCCACGGGGCTGGGGCGAGGGAGGATGGTCTGTGCTGTTCTCCTAAAAGTCAGGGTGATGGAATTTACAACCCTGATGGCACCAAGCCCACTGGTCTTCCTCACAGGAGCGAAGGGCCGGTCAGCTTGATGCCAGTCCTCTAGCCAGAGGGTGGGCACGAGGCTGCAGGGGGGCTCCCAGCCAGACTCCAACCCCACCCACAGGGGAACATCCAGGAGGGACCCTCCGCCCCAGTCCTCCACTCAGATCCCCACATTGTGCCCCCATAGGGAGCCCAGCAGGCTGCCTGCCATCCCCGCAGAGAGACATCTTGCGTTTTCAATTACAAGTCCCCATTTACGTGCCGGTTCGGTCTGAATGCCAGGCTATATTAGGTCATGCCAAGCCAGGCCTGTTGTGCTTTCTCATTAGCCGCATCACGTCGTATTTTTAGGGACGGCCGAGACTGAGACAGTGCCAGAGGGCTGGTTTGCTTCCTGAGTCCCCAAACACCACCTCCATAAAAACATCACGCTTGAAGTCCAAGGGCCCCGTGGCTCCTGCCACCGCCTAGGAGGGAGCCAGCTCTGAGGCCAGGGGTAAGTGATGAGATAAATCAGAGGCAGCGAGGGACAGGGGTTCTCCGCCTGTTTTTCCATCGGCTCTAGCCACCTACGCTCACCACCTACACTCAAAGGCCCTGAGCTCCTGGTTTCTTGTGGCCCAGGACAAAGGGACAAAAGGATCCAAGATGCCTGTGGGGATGAAACTGCCTTCCTCAGAGCAGCGCTTCCCGTCCCTTTGTCCCTCTGCAGACCCCAGCAGGGCAGTGGGAGGTCCTGCGCTCTGTCTCTGTCCTGTTCATCATCAATCACTACGGCGGGAGCATTACAGTTTGCACAGTGCTGCTCACGGTAGCCTCAGCTGGCCCACTGGAGGAGTGGTGGCCGGATATCCATTTTACAGATGAGGAAGTTGAGGCAGTGAAAGGAGAGGTGATGTGTCTTAGTCATAGAGACGGTAAGTAGGAGGACCAGGCCTCTGCTCAGAAGCCAGGCCCAGGTACCTGTTTAATTCCACTCACATGGTCACCAAGGAGGGGCCGTTGCTCATGGGTTTCCTCTCCCCCAAGGACATGGCTCACAGCTGGGAGTCCCTGCCGGTGCCTGGGCCTCTGTCTCCCACGCCCACCACAGCCTCCCGTGCCAGGAGAGTCACCATCCACAGGCTGGGGACCAAGGGGGGTGAGGCGCAGAAGAGAGAGGAAGTGCTTCTGTGACTTTGCACGTGTCCCTACCCCCTGCCTCCTACTCCTGTTCAGTCTTAAATCAGGGCTGGGATCTTCAAAATCCCTGTATCCACGAGACCCTTAGGATAAGGCTGCAGGCAGTGGAGGATCGGGGACCAACCCCAGAGTCCTCCATGCTCTCTGCCCAAGAAGGTGAAGAGCAAGCCCCTTACCCACAGCTCGTTGGCTATTAACCCTTCCACACCATCCACACCTCAAGGGTCAGAGCACGGAACACCTAACAGGGCCAGCCCAGGGGCAGGGTGCCCGACCAGCAGATCAATTCACCTTATAGAAGTGGCTGTGGTCACGCTTTCTTCCATGTCTCCACCGCAAGCCACGAACCCGGGCTCACTCCATTGAGAGCTCAGTGCAGCCCGCAGGGCACGTGAACACAGTGCGGACAGTGGGGCAGGGGTCTGGCCTCCTCTCACCGGCCGCTTCCCCGTCTCCTGGCCGCCCCACCCACACCTTCCTTCCCAAACCTAACTGCTGCCCTCAGGCTCTTTCCTTACACCCCCACACTGGCTATCCCCACCCCCGTGACAGCAAAGGCCCGAGGGTCAAACAAGACCATAACCAACACCCTCTACGCAGGGCGCCATGCTAGACACCTGGTGGGCGGTGGGAGAGGTTGGTTTGTGGAGGGATAAAGCACAGTCTTGGCCCAGCCAGAAGTTTCTGGCTAGTTGGAGAGAGGAAAGGCTTACACAGACTTCCTCTCCCCAACCCCCGCCCCAAATCAAATAATATGGCAAGTCAAAAAGCCACCCACATCATGGAATTAAGCAGCCTAGAAAGATCATAAGTGGGAAAAGAACATGGAGAAATTTGGGAAGTTGGTAACACCCCAACTGGTCTTGGAAGACAAGAGAAATGTGGTCCCCAGACCTTCCTCTCCTCCTGGGATCGCACAGCTTAAACGGAGCAGAAGTATGCAACCCCAGGGTACATACTCTGGACCCCAGCTCTCCTTCTTTCACAGGACCCACCCTCACACGCAGCTGAGTTACAGGCATTACTGGCACTTATAGGATTCATGCCCCATCGCTGTCGCAGTTTCGAGGCTGAGCGTCTGTCTACGGGAATGTGCAAAGAGGCTGCACGTAAGTTCAGAAAGCTGGGTTCCCAATGGCCCACGCTCTCAGCTCACACGGCTTCATTTCGCCAACTCGATCAAAGAAGAATATCCCCAAAACTCAACACACAAAAATACATGCACACTTCACAACCTCTAAACCCATTTCCTGGACGCTTTAGCCATGAAGTAAATCACTGGATGGCGAGCTCCTAATTCGGGGACAGTCAGAACTTAGGTCATAAACTCAGTTGCGTTTGGTGACGATGACTGTGTTGTACTATTTGCTCAGCCAGGAAACCATTGTGAAAACTGTTCTGTCCTCTTTAGAAATGAATGAAGCGTGAGCTGGACCCTAGGTCTGGAAGCCCAGATGACCAGTTGCTTTCCACTCCTACCAGTGTAGAATGATTCCAGGAATGGATGGATGACTGAAAGTTCCTCCCAACTCGTCCAAGGAGGTATGCCATCCCACGGGACAGCGAGTGGGTTATGGGTTTCTGACTTTGGAATGATTGGCCTCCAGACAAGTTCAAAGAACTGTCTGAGGCTATTAAAACCAAGAGGCATGTCAACACAGCTGGAATTAAAGAGTTGATCAAAACATAGGGCCAAGTGGCATCCAACTAAAGAAGCAAAACAACTGAACTCATTCCAAAATCTTGCAACCTTTGAGACTATTGATGATGTGACTTTGACCCAAAGGACTTTCTTAGTTGCAAATGATAGAAAACCCAACTGAGATTCACTTAAATAAAAGAAAAGGAATTTATTAGCTCATAATTTTTTTTTAAACTGTCTAGAGGTGGTTCTTCACACACATCTAGATAAAAGGGTTAAGTTGATGTCATCAAGACTCCCTCTTTCAGAGCTCTGCTATCTACAACGGTGACCCCAGGTGACAGATGGACAGAGCAGATCCAGTGGGAAAGAACAGATGTCTCTCTCCCCACCGTTCTAGGAAAAGTATAGCATCCTGAAGGGACTAAGACAATGACCCACTCACTGTGGTCAGGGAGGGGATGGAAGCTGGGGAGGCAAACTGCAAATGTTCACCACAAGGCTCACAACAAATGGATCGATTTTCACTCGTGGACTCCATGATACACATGACCTGATGAGCTACAGATAGAAACCATCACTCCTGTTCCCTTTGCTCCAGTGTAGAGGAGATGCTGGGGAGCTGTGGGAAAGCTGGGGATATGCAGAAGGTCAAACAAACTGTCCCACCCATGAAGAGCAGGGAATCAGACCCAAGGTTTAAGCCTTGGAGTAATTGATGCCAAACCTCAGGTTCTTTCCACTATTAAAATTCAAAAGTGTTGTGATGTAGCTTGGCTTTAAAGTTTGGGCATGATTTTGCGAGGCAGCCAGGGAAGAGTAGTGTGGCATTCCACACGTAGGACAGAACAGCTTGAGCAGCCTTATGGAGGTAGAAACAAGAGTGTTATCATCAGGAGACGAAAAACCAGCCTGGGGCACAACAAGGCCACGAGAACACTAACCTGGACATCAGGCGGCCTCGGCGTCAGAGCTGCTTCGCTGGAAACCATCGCTGTCATCATGGGTCCTGTATGGGACTTGGAGTTTGTCCAGTCCCACCCTCTTGCTCTACTGAGAAACTCAAGGTCTTTCTTTCATTGGGCTGGAAAGAGAGGAAGCTAAGAGCCTGAGAAGTCAAATCTTTATCATAAATCACCCTCAAACACCAGTTCAAAGGGCATGGTACTGGCACTGTCCAAACTAGCCAGCCCAGCCCAGCTCCTTCCGCTGCAGCTTCAAGAGCAAACAAGCCTCCAGCTCCCAAACTGGAGTGGAAAAGGTGGGCACTATTGGGTCTCTGCGCTATGCCAAGCACTGGCCTGGCTAACTCACCAAAACACTGGGAACCAAAATCTCTAAGTTACAGGTGGGGAAACTGAGGGTTGGTCAGCTGTTTAAGGTTAAAGTCAAAGCTATGTAATGGATCCAGGATTGTAATCGGGTCTTCTGGTGCCCAAGTCTCAGTGTTAAAGTACCCTCTCAGGAACACCAGCCACTCGTTCCAAGACCTGGCCACCCTCTCTGGGAACTCCCAGGAGAGCGCCCCCTTGCAGACCAGCGAGTGTTGAAAATGTAGGGATTGGGTTTCAAGCAGGAGAGTCAGAGGAAAAGGCCCTGCCAGGAGCTGTGAATTGCTGCTGAGCTCCTCGCAGCAGGCAGAGCAGACAGGTGTGTCAAGTCACAGGTTCCCTGAACTCCTTGCAAACAGAGGGTGTTTCTCCTCAAGGGGCCTGGGTGAGCCTGGTATAGGATTAAGCAGGATGAGTCCCAGATCCGGGGCTTATCAGCTCTTTTGATCCCAAGTGGAATCCATGGGGTGCTGACTACCTTTAGGCTCTCAGTTGCCCCTGATTGTCAGCTGATCTTTGGGTGTCTCAGGGGCGCACACAGCCATACATAGGCTTGTGATCCGTGGTCTCCTCTCATCCTCCCTGACCCGCTGTGTAGATAAGGCAGCTGAGGTTCAGAAACAGGGAGCAAGTCAGACCAGGCCCATGGCCAGTGAGTTTCCACACAGCCAAGGCTGGCTGAGTTGTCTGCATGTAACCACGAGCTCCGAACCAGGGAACCCCTCTCTGAAGATGGAAATTCACAGAGGCTGGGCCGGTATTCTGCAAGCAAGGGTACCTCTGAAATCCTTATCTGGGTCTGCACACTGACTAGCACTGCCTTTGGGTGACTTTGGGGGAGGCAGAGGCCCTGAGCTTCCCTGAGTGACATGTCAGCACCCTAATCAGGCCACTGTCATTTGTTCCCAGCATGCTCCACCACATCAGTCTCCACCCAGCAGCCGGAATGATTTTCCAAACAAAAACAATCCACTCATGTTCATCACCTGCCTGCCCACACCCTGGCTCCCACTATCCTCAAGGCAAACCTCTCCAGGTGTCGGAGGATCTGGCCCCCACCCCCTCAGCCTGTCCCATCCCCTCTCGGCTTCTCGCATCTGACTAAAGTGGACATCATTTAGTTGCTTGAACGTATGATGCTCCCCGTTGCACCCCAACCCCTTTTCTGGACCTGTTCCTACCCATCCCTCAGCTCTCCTCTAGCTATCACTTCTCCAGGGACTGACTCTCCTCTTCTGATGCCTCAGCCCAGGGCAGGCTCCCCAACAGTGAGTCCCTGTCACCCGCTCTACCACCCTCACCAACCTGCTTACCACTCCCTGGTGCCCACTTAATATCTGTCTCCGCCCAAAAGAAGCTCTGCGGGGCAAAGATCTTAATTATCTTGTCCACCACTCCACCCCCAGCACAAATGGTGCAGGACTGTGACATTAATTTGGGGACAGCTCAAAAAAATCGCTAGGAAGGAAGGAAAGGAAGGAGGGAGGGAGGGAAGCAGGGAGGGAGGCAGGGAGGGAGGAATTGATCGTTCATTAAAACTCTCAGCACCTCCTCTGGGGCCAGGGCATAAGAAAGAACACTTAAGGTGTGTATCTGCTGATAAGGAAGGCTAAGGGGTGCCCATAGGTGCTCAGTAAGAAGCGGCAGAACTCTTAGTGTACCCAGGGGACAAGGAGGGGCATCGACCTGGGCCAGTCCCCACCACTCCCCAACCAGACCCCAGCCTCATTGGCCTCCGCTTCTAGGCTGGACCTGAGCCACAGACGTGAGTACAGCCCAGACGACTTTGGCTAAGAGCCAGCCACGTGGTTCCCTGGGGCTGTCTCTCACCTGACTCACCAGCTGGCCGGGAGGATGGTGTGCTTGTGTCTGTCTGTGTGCACGTGTCTGTGTGTGCCCATATGTCCATGTGTGTGCCCGTATGTCTGTGTGTGCACACAGTCTGACCACACTCGTAACAAACCCCACACGATCCCAAGTCTCAATGAGGCCAATGACTCTCAGAGTCAGCTGTGCCCAAGGAGAACATTTGGCTTGGCCCGTGCCCAGTGTGCCTCACCTAAGGGAGGGAGGGACAGAGGAGAGAGCAGAGCTGACATTTCATCGAATCTCAGAATTGATCAAGAGAAAAGTCCGGTGAGATCTCGTAGCCCAGCATGACCCCAGTGTTCTAGCAACATGATTTGCTGAGATGCTCTGTGAAAACGGAAGCCTGCAGTCCAGGCAGTTTGAGAAGCACAGCTCTCCATAAGCACCCCTCTCAGAATCACAATCACACTGGCATATTCGAGGCTCTGAGACGTCCTGAAGAAAAGGTACCTGTTTTAGTCACTTAACCCAGCAATTTATCAGATAGGACATATAGAAGACAGACAGACAGACAGATGATAGATGATAAATATTTGTGGGAGAGAGAGAATGAGGTTGATTTTGTAGTTAAATAAACCCTAAAGAACACAGTTTTAAACAACACTGATCTAGACCAGCCATTTTCATTTCATAAATGAAGTAACGGGGGCTCAGAAAGGGCTTTGCCCAAGGTCACACCTCTGGCAGAAGGCAAAGCTGGGATGAGAACCTTGGCCGTCTAATTCGCAGGTCCAGGCTCTTTCCAACAGGCCCTATTCCCTTTTTTGTGTTTAACTCTAAACCCCAGGATTACTGGTAATCAAAGAGGTTGATGCTATTTTCAAAACAAACCCTGGTGTTCGCGATTGTGCTCCTTGACTCCGAATAGCTTCCCTCTACTGAGGGAGGCACCCTTCCTGCACCCCAGACTCTCAGGCCCACTGTCGGGGATGCAGGGCCTAGGGAGAGGCCTGCACCCGAGGCCTGGTGTTGGGCCCTGGCTCTGACAAGGGCAAGAGCCTGGGTACTTGGATCCTGCTACTCTATTTGAGGCAGGGAGGCAGGTTCCCTGGAGGGATGGGTGTCCTCCAGTGCGGATCAGGTTGGAGAAATGAAAGCTGAGGCCTGCTCTAAGCCTTGCAATGCTTCCACGGGGCTCAGCTGCTAGAACCAGAGCTGCCTTCCCTGCCCCTTCCCTCAGCAACAATCCTGACACCCCAGCTCCCATGTCCTACTCCCAGAGCTCCCAGCCCCAGCAACGTCTCCCCCACAGCACATGCACAGTACAGATAGATGCCCATGACCTTCAGTGGGCACTCAGCATCCACTAACCCCCACCATGCTGTCACTGTTGTATGGCTACTTAATGCTTCACACAGGCACATCCTGTCCCCCACGCAGCCTTAATGCTTCCAGAGCACAGGGCTGGCCCTAATCTCTTAGGGACAAGTGCCGGGCTCTGTGGGGCACATGCATGAAAGGGAGAGAGCAGCCTCACAGTGCCTGGCATGGCGCTTGGCACAGAACAAGCACAGAGGGCTCCTCTGGGGTTGATCAGCAACTCACCAAATCCAACAGCAAAACAGAATTTGTGTTGAATATTGACGGCATCAGATAGTCAGGGAGCAGTGGGCTTGAGGTTCGCCAAAATGTCAAATAACCAGTCGCCTTTTCGGGGTCTCCAGTCCCTCAACAGCACAATATAGGAGTGGAAGATGTGTGTGGAAACTTCTGGCTCTGAAACTGATTTGATTAGAGTCATAAAGAAGGAAAAACCTAAGGCCCCTTTTCAACATCCTCTCCTCCAGCCCTGCAGCACAGAAGCTGAGCAAAGTCTTGCAGCCAGGCTCAAGTGAGGGCACTACCCCTCCCCCAACTCAAGGCACCTTGCAGAAATAAATCTGGCAAAACATGCTCTAGACACAAAAACCAGTGGCTTTTGATATGCTAAGCAAAGTCCCATAAAATAGGAGATTCCATCACAAAGACAGATCCCCTTGGCCCAAATAATCCAGATCAGATGTGGGCAGGAAGCTGTGAGGTGACAGTCTCACCTCCTGATCTTTAGGCTAAGGTCCCCATGAGGACCATTTCTCCTCCTTCAATCCCCTCCCCACCCCAGACCTTTGCAGACTGTTGCTTGAGCTCTCTGCCCTGTTTACTCTGGCCCTCTCTCCCCACATTGACCGGGATTTCTCCATTTTTTAGGCTTCCCTGCTGCTAGAATGGGGTGTGGGGCCTGCCCTATGGGGCACCATTGCCCACACTCCCCCCTTTCCCAGGGAGCAGAGCCTCTGGGGGTGAAGGCGAGACAAACACAGACCAGCAGACAGAGCAGAAGAGTCAACAGCAAGCACTGTTTGTATCTGCCCCTGCATCTGAGACACACAGCCCAGCTCCTGGGGGCCTGCCAGGCTGGCTTATTGTCTGGCACTATTTGCCTTTGAGGCGATGGGTGCCTTGAGCGGGAGGGAGAAAGAGGCTGGAGTGGGAGCAGGGAGCAGCAGGGCTCAGCACCAGACCAGGCAGCCAGACTTGGCAGCAAAGGCCATGGTGTATGAAGCCCCCAGGGATGGGTCACTGGAGCCAGCAGGCTGCCCACCCTCCTCCTGTCTGTAGGCTCATATGTTCCCGTCTCTACAAAAACCTCTCAGAACCAATGCCTTCCTTCTCCCAGGCCCCCCAGAGCCCAGCTGACTTCTCAGGACTCTCCAGCCTCCCACCCTGGCACACACACCCTCGCCCCCACTAAAGAAGTTCGAGAAGACAGGTGTTGCCCAGAGGGTGCTCGAGGGCCTGCTTCTGGGGGGCATCCATCCTTCCCCAAACCAAGACCTGTGGCTTGTGATGGCCCCTCCAATCCATCAGCAATCAGCAGTGTGTGTGATTATACACGTAAACAGAACCACTCCTGCTGCTTCCCAACTGAATGAGGCAGCATGGGTCCAGAGCCCTGTCTCCCAGAGCTGTGGGACCCTGCATAAGTCACTCACCTTGGAAAATGAGGGGTTGGACCCTTGGATTTCCAAGGGCCCTTCCCACCTCAGAGTGTCATAACCATAACTGTAGGGCGTGGATCTTAAGCTCTCCTAGACAGCAGGGCGGAACTTGGTATGACAGAAATGCAACAGGAAGGATCCAAGCTTTTTGGCCAGAGACAATTCAAGCCACCAACTAATACTTGGTTCTACTTAGGTGTTTGCTCCGCACTCTGAGCATATACCACACCATGGGCTACACAGCACACATTGCATATTATCACACTCTAAGATGTGATACATATTTTGTAGTATATTCTACACTTTGTGCGTATACCATACTTTAGGGGATATATATATATACTCTTTGAAGTACGTACACACTTTAGGGCATCTAGACACCCTGCGGTATGTACACACTTTGTGTATACCCACACACTTGGGACATATCCCATATTTGTGTGCATAGCACACTTTGTGCAGAGACCTCACTGCTGGCAGCATTCTGCAAAGTGGTACTGATGCCACTCTGGCAAGGCTCTGGGGTTAAGAGTACAGACCCTGGAACCAGACAAAGCTGGGTGCAAAGCATGTCCACCTCTTGTTAACCTTAAGCAAAGAACTTGCCCTCTGAGACTCAGTTTCCTCGCCTGTAAAATGGGGATAATAACAGTCCCTATTTCATAGGGTTTGGGGGAAGATTAAATGAAGCAAAACCTATAATGGGCTCATCATAGTGCCTGGCACATAAGAAACACTTGGTAAATGGTGGCTTTGTTATCGCTGCGCTCGTAAAGGTGAGTGTTTTATAATGTACATGTGCCTTTCCATTTAAAGAGTGTGTGTGTGTGTGTGTGTGTGTGTACACATATATACATATACATATATATATCACCAGATGTTCTCAGAGCCTTAAAGCTTTTGGAAACTCAGATAACAGACAGGACCATTTAATTCATGTTTATTTCACATTTGATCTGTAAACTTTTTATTTAAAAAAATCCACTGTCATTAGCAACATGTGCTGATATTAATTTTTCTTTAGTAAAATAAGAGCGCAGGCCTTAAAGAGTCTCTGTCCGAAACGTGTAGAAACTCGATGTAAACACGAGGTCTCCGCCCTCCGCTGTTGACTTTGGGAATTCATCAGTGACAGGATCTCAACCAGAAAAGCAGAGGGGGTGGAGAAGGGCAACACTTTGATACCTAAGAGCTCTTGGGGCAGGAACTGTACAGTTTGGCAGGCCCATTTGTCTTTTCAAACTGTTTACCTTGGGCAAATTGTATCAGGTTTGCCTCTTCCGCATAATTTACACCTCTCTGTGTCTAAAAACAGCAGCTAAACGATTTCCCCGCAGTCAGCACTTTGGGAGACAGAGGGGCCACGTACACACAAAACAGAAACATACAGATTCCTCAAGCAGTGGCCCCGGAGAGAGACGGAGGGGGGACGTGGGAAGGAGGCTTTAAAGTGAGTTCCTGGGGCCAGGGTGCCTCGGGGATAATGGCTTTATACACGGGAAGGATGCCAGGCAGAAAGGCTCATTACTTCTGTCTTGGTCCATCACTGCAATATTTACATAGGAAAAGGCAATTATGCTGTGAGGCACAGGAAAAAAATGGACAAATCTTCCCCCCCTCAGGAAATCTCAAAGCAGGTCCAGACCCAAAGGGACAGTCACCAGTTGCTGGCGTAAAGGTCACAGAGGGAAGTAAGGACCCTAGAAAAGGGCTTGGACTGCAGAGGGCCCTGCCCTGAGCCAGACTCCACGGGTCTCCTCCCGGGGCGTCTCCAACAGGCAGGATTCGGACAATAAAAGCCAAGCGACATGGGGGCCCCCCGCCCCCGCCCCACCCCCCAT